AATGATGATATTTGCACTTTGTTTGACTAAATTGCAGTGATAGTATTTCAGCATGTCCACGATAACAGTACTATCGTGGTATACTGGGTACTAGAGTGAATTAATATCAAATCGCAACATGCTTTTGTTATTGGCAGCGATTGCAACTTTTAAGGAGTGGAAAAACATTGCCTAAACATTGTCCCTCAAAGGCCAGCTCTAAAATGATAATCATGACTTGCTTGAGTTCATCAGAAAATAAGCTGGAAATTATTTCGATCATAAGGACTTTTCTGTTTAGTCACTGTGACCAGATCTCTCTCTCTCTCTCTCTCTCTCTCTCTCTCTCTCTCTCTCTCTCTTTCTCTTTCTCTTTCTCTTTCTCTTTCTCTCTCTCTCTCTCTCTCTCTCTCTCACACATTGTACCTGGAAGCTGGGAGTGTGCATTAGTCTGAGGTGTTTAATATGCGCTCTTTATCTGCAGTCGTCGGGGCAGGGAAACAGCGGCAGGAAAATTCATGTTACAATACTTATCATGCACAAGCCCTCTCCGCAATTACATCCTTGACTGATTTCTTTTAGGCACTTAAATTCATTTCCAATGACCTTTATGTCTTCGCCCCGTTCGGGCAGGAGAGGAGGAGAAAAAGGCAAACGCCGCTAATTGTTTCAGGCGAGGACGTGTCAGAAAAGTCTTAGAGGTTGTGTGTTTTTCCCACATCAACTGTCTTTTCTGCATTTAGATCTGCAAGTTAGGTGTCATTAAGTCACTCACTCACTCACACACACACTCTAGCCTGATTAAATTGAATACATTTATTACTGCACTGTGCAGCAGTCTCTGACAGATAGATTTTCTGTGTATGTATGTGTGTAAATGGAGTGTGTGCTGTGTACTGGGCATTGAGAATGCTTGTGAAAGTGAGCAGACTTGAGTATATGCAGACTGTGCTGTATGAAAGTCTTTGTCCCTTGGTGAATAAAGCTGTGTGGATGCTTTAATAGAGAGTTCATACAAGGAATCCAGTTTGGAGTCAAGGGATCACAGTGTGTTTTTCAGTGACTTTTCCACCCTTCTTTCTCTCTCTCTCTCTCTCTCTCTCTCTCTCTCTCTCTCTCTCTCACACACACACACACACACACACACCACACACACACACACACACACACCCTGTCTCAGTCTGACATTGACACACCTTGAAAAGAAGCGCTTACTCTGTGCCTTTGGAGTTCAGCATGTAAGTCTTTTGAAGGATGTTCTTTCATTATCAAGGACAAAAGAAGCACATCAGACAGAATTGACAATTATCATGTCTTTGAAACCACAGATCAAAATATCACATTGAAGGAAAAAAGACCTAAAGAAAATACATGCATTGGAACTTATGTTTAGATATGTTTTTTAGTTGTTTTTGCAGTTAGGGATGTAAATAATTAACTGATAAACCATTAAAAAACAGATAAAAAACAACAACAATGATTCAAATAATTCTGTTGGGTAAAATAGGATTCATTTAATTCAGTTCCTGATTGAATAGGCATGTTTTTGAATTGTTTTTGAATTGTACACTGAGGACACATAAGCAACTGGGTCGTTAGATACATCTACTAAAAAATTAGGTGTGCTAAAGGTAATGGTATTCAGTCCTTTCAAAAGGATGAAAGCAAACATCTACAAGCGATAAGACGGACAGCATTTGAGCTAAAGCTAGCCCTGGTCATGATATTTATGTTCCTTATAACTTGGGCTAGTAATGAGTGTTATATATAACTTTAGAACGTTAGAATATAAAATATTAAACAGCCATCATTGTATATCACAGTCATTTTGTCAATATTTTTGTTTTGGTCATATAAGCACAACTTATTATAGTTATCAGCCCTTCAGTTTAAAACTGTGTTCTTATGTAGGATAAGTTTAATACGGTTTTGAGCCATTTGCTTTATATACACAAGTATGCCTGGCCCCCTATGTTAGTACTACAGTCCACAGTCATGACAAGTAGCATTTTAATGCTTTAATACAGAATTGAGTTAATGTGTGCACTCATAAGTGATCTGTCTAGTGTTTATGCTGAAACCTCTGGAAAAGTTGTATTTTTGTAATGCCTTGAAAGTGACAAAGGCTGCACAGGTCACTATGAACCATTTGAATCTCCGGATGATGACCTTCTTTTCAAAAGCTCTCTCTTAAGCCACCTTGATGTACCTTAAGTCAACTCCATTCACACTAGCATCAGTCTTAAAATTTTACGCCAGCATAGTCTCTGAGGCTGCACGCCACTGTCATTTCTGAAATCTCACAAATGTTCAGCCATGACACCTCACCTTGTTGTCATCTCCGAAATCCCAGGAACATTGACCTAAAGCCTCCCCTCACCTTCATCCCAGAAAACTCATCCACACTGGCCATTGAATCTCACTCTGCCTTCATCTCACAAGCATCAGCTCTGAAACCTCATCCCACTTTCATCTACAAAACCTCACGAGCATCTGCCTTGAAACTCCACCCCATCTTCATCTCCAAAACGTCATGAGCGTTAGCACTGAAACCCCACCCATCCAACTTCATCTCCAAAATGTCATGAGCTTTAGCTCTAAAACTTTACATTGCCTTCATCTCTAAAACCTCAAAGGCATTGTCCCTGATCCACACCAGTCTTAGCCCAAAAATCTCATTTGAGCATCAGCCCTAAAACCTTAGCCATCATCCATGACTCCTCACATTGCTGCCACCCCCTGAAACCTGATTGTCACCTCTGAAACCTCATGAACGTTGGCACATCATGAACGTTGGCTCTGTGTATGTGACTACATACAGTGGTGCTTTCCCAAAACCTGGCATAGCATCATCTCTGAAAGCTCAGAGTTACATCAGCCCTGAAACTTCACACCTGAGTCATCGCTGAAAGCTCATAGTTGCATCAGGCGAGGAGTGCAGTGAATGGTGCACTGGAGAGAGAAAGAGAGTGCAGGGTTTTTGAGTGTGCCATGCCCCCAAAAGCTCAATAGTAGAGTGAGAGCATGTGAATCGTATACTAACAGAGGAGAGGATGACCTGATGTGTCGGGGATGGCAACCACACTGGCTTTACCTGAGTCCAGTTATTGTCTGAGAAGAACCATGTGGGTTGCCATGACAACCGTAGTGGAGTATGATGGTAGTGGATGAGCTGAAATGATGCAATGAACTGTGTGTGTTTGTATGTGTGTGTGTGTGAGAGAGAGAGAGAGAGAGAGAGAAAGAGAGAGAGAAAGAGAGGGAGAGAGAGAGGGGTGTATTGTGAGGAGGAAGGAGATAAGGGCTTCACCTGAATGCTTGGCTGCATCCTAATAACTCCACCTCCTTGCAAGCTTCCCCACACTCTGCAGCTGTAAAGGCCAAACACCTAGCTTCCTCCAGGTGTGTGTGTGTGGTGAAAAAAGTGCTGAAAATGACCCCAGCAGAACTCAGATTGCTTCATTATTTATCACACCAAACAGTTCACCAGTTGACTGCTACATCTGAAAGAGGCATTCCAGCCTAACGTTAGCATTGTGTGATGTTCTGTAGCTCAGCACTGCATCCCTTGGCCTTACTGGTTTGACAGAGTTCATGATTTCATGTCTTTTTTGTGTTTTCTTCTGTCAGTGTTTTCTTACTACAATACCCAACATGCATCACATAAATACAACCTTTGGGAAACACCCTCCCCTTCCCATGAGCAAAAAGGAGATCCTCTGATGTAGAAGCTGTTAAAGACAGGCGAGATATTCAGCTTTATAGCAGTAACAGTGGACATCTTGCCTCCTTCTCTCTTCTTCTTCCTTTAAACAATCCACCCTCAAGTATCCGCCCCAAAGCGCTTGTAGCTTTTCAAAAGCCCCGCCCCCTTTAAGACACATCATCAGAAGGGGGTTTTCCAAGTATTTAAACCAGGAATTCTCACTTTTGGGACTATTTTGATACCACTATAGGAGGCAAGTATGCAGATTTTCAACAGATGAAACAAAGTTTATTCATTTTTTTTAGCCAGAGAGCCCCTTGAAAGTAACCCTTAGATTAGCAAAAGAATGTAGTAATTTAATATTAATTATGACTTCTATTGTGAGAAATGGAGAAATTCTGTTGAAAGTGCAGATTCTAAATTTTCAATTGATACCACATTTATGTCTGTAAGTAGAAAAATGGCTATTTTTTGTTTTGGGTTTGATGAATTTTGATTATTGTTATTCATGCAGTCTTGAAATGCATCTCTTAGATGTTTCTTGCTTTAGACATTAAAACACAAGAGGAAAAAGTGCATATTTACAGAATACATAATATAAATCAAATATGAATGTAATCCAATATCTAATGTACTCTATACTTAAGTTAGTAATTACATTAGAATAGTAATTCCAAACCACATAAACATTAGATATTTAGGGGTTAAAACATTCCATTATGAAAGCAGTGTTTTATCTGAGGGTGTAATTAAAGGGTCTTGATGGCAGCAGGTATCCCATGAGCCCCCTGCTCTCCAGTTACTCCTATTATAGGTGCTAGGCTTTGCCTGCAGCTGCTGCTTTCCCCAGCGCTCAGAGGGGTGTAGCTTTGATTGGGGCTGTGATCAGCAGGAGGCTTCACCCACTCCACAGCAGTGCCCCTGTGGGAGCATCATATGTTGTCACATGACTTTGCTATCTTTATCTTTCTCTTTCTCTTGCTCATGCAACAGCAACGTGTACCAGAACCTCTTGCCTAAAGCCCTCCAAGATGTTCAGCTGGGAATCATTGTGTGCTGTGTATTTCATTCATGACTTGTGATCAATTTAACATACAGTAAGCTCAGTGGAGTAATAGCCTGAATGGTGTGCTGTGCTGTATGTGAAATATTGGCTGTTGTATTGTCAGAAGATAGCTCTTTTCTGGAGTGCGTAATGTGCTCTCGGGTGCAGTATGTATTATGTTTGTCAAGTGGGAATAATATGTTTAAGAATATCTCTTTTTTTCCCCGTCTCTATCTCTCGCTCTCTCTCCCTCTCACCTTCTCCCTGTAGAAAGCAGAGGATGATGATTTGGTGCTGACTCCTGATGGAACGAGGGAGTTCTTGACTTTTGAGATTCCTCTAAATGACTCTGGTTCTGCGGGATTAGGAGTCAGCGTCAAGGGCAACCGCTCCAAAGAGAACCACGCAGACTTGGGCATCTTTGTCAAGTCCATCATCAACGGAGGAGCTGCCAGCAAGGCAAGAAGACTTGAATGTTCCTGAATGAACAATTTAGTTGCCATATAGGTGGATTCTGTAGGTTTACAGTTACTAACTATAGCCCATCTGTTACTGCACAATTTATCAGCCACCTTCCGTCTTGCACATCAGTGGCATGGGACCACTAAAGGACCATCGCTGAGAAGTTATTATTTGGGTTGTGGTCCATTCTCAGTACAGCAGTGACGCTGACATAGTAATGTGTGTCATGCTGGTTTTAAGTGTATTAAGCATAGTAGTGTTCCTGGGGTGTTTGTGTCAGTGTTTGACCTACCTACCGAAAAATATCCAGCCAACAGTGATTCTGTGGTCAAACATTGGCCATTAAAGGGGTAGAGGATGACTTCAATAAATTTATTACATGAATAATGGTGCACTTCAAAAGTCTAAGCTTTTGGGAGCTGAAAGCAGGATTAACAGAGAAACTTGTTAACTGCTGTTGTAAAAGAAGTTAACCACATCTATGTGTGAGGTTTTGTGAAGCTAAAACTGAAGGCCATTTCACACCAGACACGATAACCGCACAGCATAATGCGGTAAACATGTGGTGCCGCATGCAGTATGTTCCTATATTAATCAATGTAACCTTTCCCACTGGACAGTGACATACGCATCAAGCTCAAAAATATACTTTGGGTCTATTTTTGGTGTGTGCTGTGCGGGCGTAGTAGCAGTTTCTAGACAGAAACAGTAAAGAAATGCAGTGTTATGCTATAAAGTGTAGGCTAATAAACAAATCAACAAATGTAGATTTAACTCTTTGATTAGGTGAAGGAAATCCCTTGAGTAGGTTAATGCTGCAAACCCACATGCGTCTCCCCTTCATATCGCTTTACATCACATTGTGAGAAAGCTAGCAACAGTCACAGCAGTAAGACAGGTTTTTGTTGTTGATATCTTTGTCATCTAGGCTTTTAAGCAATTAACGGACAATACAGACATTTGTGTTACATGAAAATGGAACACAAATAGAAAGCGCTTTCACTTCGCAGCATTTGTCACGTCTGGTGTGAAATAACAAGGGGTGCAAAGTAGCTCCGGATTACCACAGGCGCTGCGTTACTTCAGTTGTTAAATGGGCTTAAGTCAGAAAGCCAGTCTAAGTTGAACCTGTTTTGTTAAACAGAACCCAGATCCACTAAAGGATAACGTCAACACTCATAAAACCAAATAAATATTTGTGTGTAAGCTTTTTCTGCCATTTTTTCTTCCATTTTTTTGGCTCCCGATATGTGCATTCTATTTTGAGATATGATTATCAACTTGCTTTTATACCTCACTTGAGCTTCTTGGACAACATAGCGGTACAGTAATAACCCAGTATTTGTTTAGTTGCTCCGTAATGGCCGTGTGGCCCTAAGCACCTGCTTATGTCGCTTATTAGTTAGAGGCAGCACTCTCAACAAGGTAGGAGTTCCTAATTAAAAGGCTAGTAAATGTAGTTCATGCATAACAATCTCTAAGAAGAACAATTTTCATGATTTCTATTGTAACAAATCTTTCACTCTTTAAAAAAGCTGACATTTTGCGTGTTTTTATGTTTTGCATGTCTTCCTATACTTTATTATGTTGTAACCATGTTATTATTGTGTATCTGTTCCCAGGATGGGCGGTTGAGGGTCAATGACCAGTTAATAGCTGTGAACGGAGAATCATTGCTTGGGAAAACCAATCAGGAAGCCATGGAGACTCTTCGCAAGTCCATGTCTGTGGAAGGCAATAAGAGAGGCATGATCCAGCTCATAGTGGCCAGGAGGGTCAACGAGAGGAATGAGGTGAGTGTGTGTGTGAGAGATAGGAGTAAGGTGTGGGGGAGAGAGAGATATCATAAGATGGTTGTTTACCCACTATGATTTTCACTGATTGAACCCTAGATACTGCCTTAAGTGTTTGGCTGGCTACAGTCAGCCCTCATCAGAAAGTGCATCTGAAGCTCAGACAGTTTCACTATCCAGCACAAAAACATGTTGTTTTTTTGTTACATTAAATGTCCAAAGGTATCCAGACACGCCTTCTAATTAGTAAATTCAGCTACTTTATGGTGCACCCACTGCTGATATAAGTGTTCAGTTGAGCACACAAAACTTGTATCTCCATAGAAAAGAATTTCGAGTAGAGTAGAATGCCCTGAGAAGCCGCACATGAGCCTGAGGTCACCATGTCTGATGCCAGGCATCAGCTAAAGATGTATAAAGCCACTGAGCATCGGGCTGTGAAACAGATTCACATTTTCTGGATTGATGGAGCTCCATGTAGTACTTTTGGGATGAGTTGCAGTGACATTTGTGATCTAGAACTAATCATTCCACAGCAGTACCTGACCTCACTGATGTTCTTGTGGCTGAATGCAGTTAAATCCTCACAGCAATGTTCTAACATCTACTGTAAAGTTTTCCTAGAAGAGTAGAGGCTGTTACTAAGGCAGAGGAGGGACAAACTTTTTAGTAATAATTTCAGAAGAAACTCCGGATGGGCGGGTGTCTACGAACTTTTGGACATATAGTGTAAATTTGTTAACTTTTTTTTTTTAACAAGCAATTTCTTTGGCCTTCAAAATCCAGTAGTGTTTAATTTGAGCGAGATGGTTTTTAGCATTTCATTGTAACTAGTTATATCTAGTTTTATCAGGCTTGATTGTTTGAGGCAGGACTATCATCAAGATTGTATAGCTCTGGATCCAAGCTGATAATGGTGACTAGTTCCTCTTCCATTTTGCTTAACATTGATGTTACTGACTGAAGCCCTGCCTCAGACCTCCTCCTATTGGCTGACGCATAGTTATGTTCTTCTGATGAACAGACAGTGGAGTTTAATTTTTGTGCATTACTCTGCGTTGGTGACTCTGGATTATTCTCATTGAAATCAGTGATATTTTTGATAGATTTTTGAAAAATGTTCTTAAAGTGGCCTTAGGGTGCACACAGGCTGATATTTCAGGAGACTGGGGACAGTCTGTGCTCCTGGCTCTCCTGTGTGGGACAGGACTGTACCTAAAACAGGCTGTCATATGCGTGCCTGATTGATGGACAGAATTCCGTGCCATGAGCAGATAGTTGAGTTCGACTACAGGAAAAGTGAATTATACTGAGGAGTTCTTATCAGACCAGAGCAGAGTTGAGCTAGAGGGAGTGAGAGAGATGAGGCGAAAGAGAAACGAGGCGAGAGATCGAAAGCAATTCGGCTTCTGAAATGCTCATGCTGATATGAACTGATAAGGGCTGGCTCTATGAAATATCAAATATCAACTGGTGTTTATTTATTTATTTTTCTTTTCTTCCACTTCTCTATCATTCTCTTTTTTCTTTACTTGTGTTTATATTTAATATTTTTTCTTGTATAATTCATTATAACTTATGAATCTCAGAAACGTACATAGTTTTTAAGATATTATTTGATGATAGAAGGTGCAATCAAAAATTGGGAATCACTTGCTGTATCAGTACGCATTTTGTATTTTTTTTAATCTAATTTATTTTACAATGTAAAATAATATTGTTTAATATTGAATAATATAATAATACTGAATAATATTAAACAGGCTTCAGAATTTATTTTTAAAATAAAAGGTTATTTAATAATAAATTATATACTACAATTACTAGGGATTGTTATTGACTTTGATCATTACTTTGCTATAAGACACTATGGATATTAATTTTACTATATCATTCTCAATGCTAAACAGCTTTATTTGCCATGTGGAATCATACTGCACAGTTCATCATTTTTGAGACTGTTTTTTTTTTATTTTTTGGTTACTAGTTCCTATGAATCATTTATGAAGTTTGATAATGTTGTATGAACTGGTTTGATATTATTGAAAACTGATTACAAACTTTGTGGAGCTATTCTAAACTTTTCAGCAGTAGTGTATTGGATTAATAGAAAAACAAGAAGAAAAAAAAAGTATCCAGGGGCGCATTCTAACTTGTAAATTCAGCCACTTTAAGGTACAGCCTTTCCTGACACAAGGATTCACTTGGACACACACAACTCATGTAATCTCCATAGAAAAGCATTGTCAGTAAAATTGGTAACACTGCTTATATAGAGTCCCCCAGCATTGGGCTGTAAAGCAGTGAAACTGCAATCACCAGAGTGATCAAACACCACACAGTCAGTCAAATGTTGCTTTAGCTGCTTGTACGAACCAGGAAAAAACAGGACACTCACACTTACATTATATAACAAAATACATAGCATTCATTATTGATCTTTACAAGTAACATCCGAGCTAACACAAGCCATCTGAGAGACAGTCTGTTTGGTCTGGTGGGTGGGCGGATAGATGGCGCCAGTACAATGACTAGAGCAGCCAATGACTCCATCTTGTCCTACCATGCCCTCTACTGCAGCCAATCAGAAGACACTGTGGCTAATACCTGTTAACGAAACTGTGGCGAATACCTGTACCTGATAGCAAAAAAGAAAAAGGCATCCCAACACACTCACCCACACCCCACGGGTCAGTGCATGCACACGTGTTAGAATGTGTTGCTTGGTCTAGATCAGGTCTGTTTAGCGTTTTTTTGTTTTTGATTGGTGCCTCTTGCTGCCAGCGCTTTGCTGGACTGGACCTCATGCTGCGTTCCTGTTTCATCATACACCCACATACACACATTCACACAACACACATCATTCCCCCTCATTCCAAGCAAGGTCACCAGTCGCCTCCAGAAGTGCCCAGATGCAAGGTCGCTTCTTATCTGTCTGTCAAACGCTTGCTGGGTTGTTTGCCCTGCTGCATAAACCAGATCTGTCCCAAGCACAATCAGAGGCCTCCAGCTCAGAGCACTTCACTAGGATTGGACCCCTGCTGCTTGAGTGAGGATCATTGTGGGATGAGAGAAAGAGAGACAGCTTATTTAATTAATCATTAGACTTATAAGATCAAAAGTTACATCTAAGTTTAAATCAAAACAAATAGTGGATTCAAAATACAGAAACATCACTTCTTACATATTCAGCAAAAAAAAAAAAAGAATCTGTATCATTGATAAGGTTATAATAGGCATATTTTAGCAGGAGTTATGTTGACCCCTGCCTCCTCACCATCAAAACAAGATCAACTGGCCTGCATCGCTTAATCCAGATTGTCCTAGTGCACCAAATCACTGTTTCACTGAATCTTAATAAGCTGAGTCATTTTTGAAGGGAGAGAAAATGAGAGAGAGAGAGACACACACACACAGAAGGAGGGAGAGACAGTAAAGAAAAAAAGAAAAAGTGGTTTGAGAGAGAAAGCGAGACAGAAAGGAGAGGGCGAGTGTTGGCTGTAGGGTATAGCGGCTCTGTGCTGTTTTGTGATGAGCAGCAGTTTGCCACTGTCACACGCAGCACATTCAGGAGCACACAGGCCAACATTCAGATGAATAAGATCCATCACTGTCTGCTCACTCAGACCGTTTGTGCGTGTGCATGTGTGTGTGTCTGTGCACTAGTGTATGGGGGGTACTCTGTCCTTAGCACTGTTATAACCATGTAGTTAATGGTGTGTATGTATGTGTCTGTGTGTCTGTAGGGGAATGGGAGCAGTGTGGGGGATGGGGACCGGTGGGGTGGGAGGGTACTCCTTCAGCCTTGTCATTACCATGTGACTGATGAAGATGATGTCTGATTGTTTTTGCAGAAATAGTAGAGGATGATACCTTGTCCTCAGCTGTGTGGCTTCTGGTGTCAGTGTCTGTGGCTGTGTGTGTTTCTGTCTGTCTGTCTGTCAGGGTGTTTTCGTACATTTTATAATAAAACAGAAGTTCTGTTTTCCATATTTTAAAACTGAAAGGGAAAAAGCAATTTCTTTTTGAATACTGGGGAGTATACGCTACATTCAAAAGTTTGATTTCACTCGTCACATTGATAATGACTTATTTTATTCAGTATTACCTTTTTTAGTATGACTGAACTTGTAAAAGGTAGATGTAAAAAGATGTTTTTCGATTATTGGTGATTTTTTTTCTTTCTTTAAATATATTTATTTTATTTGTTTTTATCTCAGTTATTATTGACAAATCTTGAGCTCTGTTCATCATTTTGAACATTTTTTTTTGTTTTTTGTTTTTTTACAGTTTCACACAAATTATTTGAAACCTGAAGTTGAGTGCTAGCACATCTTAAACAAACAAAGCGGCCTCTGCCTAGTCCAAATTGCTTTCTAATGCACTCTTAAGTAGGGCTGAAGGATTTGGGGAAAATGTCAAATTATGATTGCGATTGCAATTTAAATGTGATTATTTATATATTAAAGCCCTTTTTTCCCAGGCCAGGAAGACTAACTTACCTGTTTCTTTGGGCTTGAAGCTTGAACACTTAATGTATTGTGGTGGAATGCATGTTTATAAGCTCTGCATTATTAGGTTATTAAAATATAAGTTATTACTATATTATTTCATGACATGTAAAACTCGTTAAAACTTTAGCTTTTGAAAATTACACTCGAATTGTTCAACTTTTTATTGTGATTTCAATATTAAAGATTTCATTTCCTCCTCTTCACACACACACACACACAAAGCACACGTACACACTCCTTAACTGGCAGTGATTTTTACTGTGAATGCTAATTATGAGCGTGCACATTAGACAGTCACTTTGAGCTACTGGAACCCTGTAAACGGAGAGTGACTGCTATTAGCTTTGAGCTAATGTGCTCTTGTAATAAGGAGTTAATTGCTCTTCATGGCCTAAGGATGGAAAAGGCCAATCAGCATAGTGACATGATGACAGCTTCAGCTTGGATACTAGTCATGAACAGAAAGAAACTATGGACTTTCCTTTC